TTAGCTCTTTTGTTGTGAAGACAGCTTAGGCAATACTTTCCCCGAATACATATTATAAAATACTAGTGTGAAGTGACCTTTCGTTATTGGTTGACTCCTGACTAAACTATGCAAGATAACACAGTCTAAATTTTATAGCGAAATAGTGTTGTTTTCCAAGTGCTTTAAACCAGTAAGTTTAGAACTGGAGTTTAGGCACTGAAGATACAAAAACAAAAAGCCAGACAATTAAATACTTCACTAGACATCCCCTGCGTTGTATAAAGTGGAACCCACTGAAACATTTTATTTTCAACCATTGGTATTGTAGCAAACAGGTTGTTTTATCCCAGTCCAGAATTGCCTGAGAACTGAGGCAACTGCACATTTGAAAGTGGTTTTTACTGTAACTTAGCGATTAAAGTATTATTGTTATTCGTTCCTGGTTTTCTGAGTGGAACACATGGCTTCAGGGGCACGTCACCGTAGTCACTTTAAGCCAACTCCACAATTTCCCACAGGCTTTGATTTTCTCTTCACACGGTCTCCTACATGTCAGCCTAGGACGTTCAACTCGTCACTTTCCCTTAGGGTTCTTCTCAGCGTCTTGGCATTTTATGTCATTTGAATATCTGTCCCCTCAGCAACAAGATGAATTAATGTCCACTTCCTTCTTCATATATTTTGTGCAACAGGTGCTTAGCTGGTTCGCTATCTGTCAGAGTTCCTTGTCGCTTATCTGTTTCTGACGGGCCAGTGAGCAGAGGCTGGTGACAGGAACGCACCAAGTCTCCGAATCATATAGAAATACTGACTTCATAATAGTGTTACAAATTCGGACTTGGTTCCTTGTGCTCATTACTGTGGATCTACACATTGATTTCAGAGTGATGAAGGTCCTACTTGCTTTCCTTATCCTATCAAGGTTGACTTTGACATCCACATCCGTATCGCCGGCCTGAAGTTGCGATGATGCTGTCCATTAAAGTCTCATTTATTTTTTTATAAAATTCCAATAGAATGAGAATCTGATTGTAGTGCTTTTTTAAAAGATTGCTTTTTTGTTTCTAAAGTATGGTACTAAACCAGTCTGTGCAAGAATACAAAGCACAGACAGCTTCAAATTACTATCAAATCAACTGACTTTATTAGTAGAATAACACAAAATAAAAAATAACCGACTCTAGCATCAATCTGCCAAGACTTAAACTGCCAGTTTTAACATGTTAAGTCCTAGTGACAAAGTGCCGACAGATGTTTGTCATTTTGACAGATGGGATTCTAGATCAAGAACACAACTGATGAGAAAAGAGATGAAAACGTGATGACTATCAGTAAAAAAGACAGTGCAGTAGAACAGTGCCATCTAAAAAATTTGGTAGCACAATAACTAGCGATTCAGAGTAGACAGACTAATAATATCTGTGCAAAATACAAACCATTAGAATTGTGAACATACTCTAATAACCTGCTGCTCTATTCACAGCTTTCATTTATCGTCCAAACTATCTTACTTCTCTGAATGAAGACCTTGACAGTACACAGATTCCTCTGAATCTCATTGCAGGTGTTGGAATAAATCAAAGTCAAGCATACACCATAAGTGCATTATTTCAAATTGTTGTATTTCATAAAAATGTTACTTTTCACTTAACGTAAATATAAATCATATTATGATAAAGAAAAATAAATATCGAATGAGAGGAAATAGGTAAGCGTTACTGATAACGTTTAAAATCTAGTGAACGATAAGGAAGGAGTAAACACATATGTGCTGCTGTGATCGATTCCGATCAGTATCACGAAGAGTCTGCAATCGTTAATTCTTAACAACAGACTTAGGATCGAAATCCAGCATCCTACTTTTCTCACACTGCTGAGAATGGTATTCTGTGTCTCTTATAGGTGACGGGGTGATACAATGTTTTTATATGATGACTACCGATATTTTCCTCATCTTCTCGTAATTCACTGAAAATTAAGTATTGCTAGGACGAACAACTCACCGTAGACAGCCGTAAAGTAATCATTGCTGTCTGAGGTGGCATGATAACCTGGTTGGACAGTTCATGATTGATTTTAGGAGGATCTTCAAGGTCATGCAGTCAATCAGACATTGATTATTTATTTGCCATTTAAATTTCCGTTAATGTGTAAACGATATATAATATCCCCTCTATTGCTGCAATTAAATATGACTTTTGTTTCTATCTCAACGTGCGAAATATTTTCAGGTGATTATTTGGCTATAGTGTGGTGTTTGGAGGTTCATTCTAGTCAACATAGACGACAACTACAAAAGCAGTTACACTCCGTCAAACACACACTGAAGAAAGTGGTGTTTAAATGATGAAAACTCCACACCTTTGTTGACTGATTTCATTTGTTGTAAAATGCCTACTTACTTCTACTTTGAAATCACCTTACCTTTCCCTTTCTAACTAACAATTCTAACAGGATAGGAGTGGTCTTAAGCCTATTATTTCTTCGTTTATTCTGCCCTTAATGAAAGTGTCTTACGGTAGAATTATGTACAGGTCGTTCATACTTTCAATAAAGTAAGAGTAGAATTTGCACACTGTACTAGAGTGTAATCCCATAACACACAACGGTAAAGTATTGATAACTGGCTGACATTTCGAGAACAATCTATTGCTCATGATCATATCATATTATCAATGCTACAATTTAAAAAATTCAAATTATCACCACAGCAAATTTGAGAACTATGGACATAGACTATGCTTTTCTAAAGTTGTTTCCTGTGATATTTAGATGGACTTAGTATGAAAAAAGTTCTGCATTTTTCATTCATTCTTTGTTTATCGACAGAAACTCATTTTATGCTAGGTGAGCTTATTTTCTGTTTAATGAGTTGTATTAATTGCAGGGCTAATTGTAGAACACCTTTTCCGATTGCAAGTGAAAAAAAGCTGTTTTATCAAGTAACTTTGAAAAACAGTATTTGCAAAGAGAACACAAATAAACCATTTAGTGAATAGTTTTGTAGTCAGGTTTAGAGCTCCAGCAAGTTGATGACTGATGTAGTTACGTGATGAAGACGACTGGAAATCAGTATCTGAGTCTCAAAGCATCTATTTGTATTCTTAACTTAAAAGTTCAATATACTTTGATTGGACACTAGTAACTACTGTCCAATCAAAATACCCACTACAGTCCTACAGGAGATCAATCGCGAGCCCAATTAGCTCAGTGGTAACGTCTCTGACTGCAGCACTGGGTGACGTGGGTTCGAATCTCAGAAGGGACATGAGTTCCTTCAAGGTTGCAGATACTCCCTGCTGATGAGTGCCAACTAGCCCGAAACCTAGGTTCAAGGCATCCTGCCGATTGCCTCCAACTATCTAATATCATCAGTTCAATATGCTATCCTAGTTGTCTTATGTGTTTAAAAATTTTTTTAATTGGGTTTTTTCTAGTAGTTTTTAATTTAGTTCTACCACTTTTGTTTTAAAATAGAAAGGATAATCGAAATGCATTAGAAAGGCGAGTAGCTGTTTTGAATTCTGCAACCGATGTGGCTATCAAACTTCATTCACTTAAAATGTGTTGTCAGTGATGAATTTTGAAGACAATAAAAAAGGGTTATTGTGCCTAGTCTACATTGTTAATTTGAAAGCTTTTCTTTAGGAACTGACTATTCTGCCTTGTCGCTGTCGAACAACAATCACCTTGGAACTCGACATAGACTGAAAAGTCAGTTGGAACAAGGAACAACTTCTTACAGTTCAAAGAGACTTAAGATCTTTCTGTAGGAAAGGACTATGTTATCCAGAATCTACTTTCCATGCTTGATGATGCTGACAAGATTTAGTCACATTCTTAATACGTAAGTTCGTAATTTCACAGACAGGGGATAATAAATAGATTCACTACTTATTAAATTGTTCAGAGAATAGTCATAGAGTAAGCTGTCTAAACAATAGCCTATGATTATCTGATATCAGTTACATATATTTTCTCATACAAGAATATAAATCATAATTGTTTCCTAAGAAAGTTGGCGATGCTACCTGGCAGGTTGATAGGGATTCAAACTGATGACGTAAGTTGGAGCGTCTAAATCTACTTACTACACAAACTCTTATCCAGAATGATAGTTACAATGGCATAATACTGAGTTTTGTCATTTTAGAACATTGACTACTTTTCAAAAAATAACCTGTTGGCAGTGTTAGGTGAGTGTTTTTAATGGATAAATGGACAATGAATCAAAACAACTGTTCATTTTGAGATATGCTTGTGTAGCAAGGATATCAGCTGTCAATCAAAGCATATCTTTAGGTGTTAATTGTGTTCATCACTCACTCACTGACACGAAAAGCGATTTTTTTGTTCACCTCGGTGACATTTCCATCATCTAATTGATGTTTATTAATCAGTGAACGCTGCTGATGAATAATAGTAATAATAATATTAATCACATTAAATTATGAATTGAAAAAGTGTCAAAACGAATAATTCTAAATGAAACCGTCGTCCAACACATCAGTCTCCATCCTCCATAGTAGTTAATGCTAGAAAAGACAACAGCTTGAGATAATAACAGCTTTTAGTAGCAGTTTCACATTATCAGCAACAGACAATCACCATTTATTCTCAGGCGTAGAATTCCACTTTATTTATTTATTTTTTTAACTTTCATCATATTATTATCATCTATAAGTTTGATGTCTGACATTTATTCAGTCGGTATAGCATAAGTAAAACAAACATCATTTAATGGTGAGGTATGTCAATATAAAATGATACTCTGAAATTTAATCAATATTGAGACTGAACATTTTGCATGATAACCGATAGAACAGATTAGCTATGATGAATGATACAAAAAGAAAATTATTATGCAAAGTATTGAATTATAGTTTAGACACGCACAAGAGTGAATAGTGACAAGAATGACGGTTATTGACTGAGGTAGGCAAGCTGGAATATATATATATATATATGCTTTTATGGAAGCAGTAATTTTTATAAAACAGTGTGTGTTTCAAACTTACGAAGTCGTCTTGGGCCAATACGAGATACTGAAAACAAAGCAGAAAAAAACAAGATTACAATGACGTAAAAATTCAGAATTTACTGGAATATTTCTCTCTTTTTTAAGAGAACCAACAATTAACAGGCTGTTATTTCGACAGTTCCCCTCGTCTACTTTTGTTGTTGTTAATAATCTTTTCCGCAGAAAATGTCTAACTACTATTAAAAATCAGATATCGTGATGTTGGTTTAATTGTTAGTTTAATCACCAAGCTCAACAACAACAACTAAAGACTGGATAAAGCATATATACTAGAGTGAAGTGGTTTACTTAGGTAAATCAGCTTTAAGGCACATACGTTTCACTGAGATACTGTGGTGATATTCAAGCTGATAACAGTTTTCACAGCTGTTAGCATATTTTCATTGAGGAGTTCGGCTTAGTTGGTTGGCCGTAACGCAGGTGTCTATAATATCCATTTTAATATCATTTAATATATATAATGAATATGAAGGAATTTTAACTAGGAATGTTTTGTACAATATCATAGGTTTAACAAGTTGTTGATGCAATCATAATAAACTCAAAAGTTTAATGACTACGTCTGCGACTGTGTTAAAAGTGATGTTCCTAAATACCAAGTATTGGTTCGGTAGGGAGTTTTGTTTGATTGCATGGAGGATTTCATCATGAGCTGACATTAGTTAGAGAACCACTGGAAAACCTGGGAGTACGGGACAGCTGTTTCGTCCACGTTTGGGACTCTTCATCAGTACGCACCCACCTAAATACGCCTTGTTGTTCATTGCCAACAAGTGTAACGCTTTTCGAAAATAATAACCACTTATTGTGCTATGACTGCTGACATATATTGTCAAGTAAGGGTGTGTGAGGTCGTATGGCTTGGTGATGAATCGCCTACTATTAATTCTTGAAGACTAATGTTTTTTCTATGCTCAGCTGCTAGTATTCCATACTGCTGCGCTGAAAAAATAGCAATTAATCGTAACACATGGATTAGGGACCTATAGCAGGAGACAGTACCTGTTTGAAAAGTCAATAAAAGCAGTCTAGAAACAACCAGCAAAAATTACAGAAAAATGAACAAAAAGTCAACTGCTTTGAAATAGGACTTCAGATATCGTGTGGCTTTCTCAACAATCAGCTGTCCATTATGTGAGATGGATTTTATCGTAGTTTACCGGTGAAATACATGAAAAAGCTTAGCACAACGGCTCACTTCACCACTTTCTCCCGTCTCATTCAAATTTCTCTGGGCTATGAACTCGGTGATATGCTCGGAAACCAGCATTTTTCGCATCTCAGATGCAATCAGAGAATGCACTACTCTCTGCTACGTCCTAGTTCTCGTTAGTATTTTCCTACTACTCGAGCGTTAAACGCTGAGATGGATAGCAGTAGACGTGTAAACAAATAGAATACATTTGTAGAGTGTATATATATTGAAAACAATTTTATTGTCAGTGGTCGAATTTATTGTAAGCTTTCACTTTAGTTTTCATTTAACTGGTTTTACAAATATGCATTACATGCGAACTGTTACCTGTCAGGTTCATTCACCAAAGAAAAAGAAAAGTAATGCGAAAGATGGGTGTTTTTTGAGCGATCAGATGACATAGTCTAAATATACCCAGTTTGAATGAACATTATTTGGACACAAGTGAAAACGAAGAATGCTTGATACAATAGGCCACATATTATATCAGCATGAAATCAAGAAAACGCAATTTTACATGTTTAACTCTGAAGCCTTTAGCCTAGATATGACTATGAGGCAAGATTTCCTGTCACCGACTATCAAGATCTCTGAAGCCGATCGAATGAAGACCTCCGACGATGAATGTGAATTTCATTATTTAATGTCGGATACCTGAATAATTTGTTACTGTTGTGGTAACGTGAACAGAGCAACACTACAATAAGCGTCATTGTTAAGGTATTATATAAACCTTCTCAATATTGTAGGTAATTTGCTTGTTAAAAAATATTTATCAGATATCTAATGTTATAGGTGAATTTATTTCTACGATGAGATCTCATTCTCGAGAGACAACTTTAGTGTGACGCAGACTGTCACTAATTATTATTATCTCCTTTAGTTCCTAGAGGAACATAGGGCTTCAGCCATACGTGTGCATTGCTTTCGGTTCTCTGCCAAAGTTTTCACCTGGCTCCATGTCTGCCAGCATGCTTTCATCTCCTCTTTGCATAACCTCCTCCATGTCACCCTCGAATGAGTAACTAGCTGCTTCCCATTCTGGGTCCACTCGAGCGATGGCCTGGCGTCGGGTGTCACTTGTTGGTTTTCTCACAGTATGGCCAATCCACCTCCATTTCTTTCTGCATATTTGTTGCACAATTTTTTCCTGGTTGGTTCGTTCCTAGAGATCCCTATTTCTGATCTTTTACGGCCATCTGATCCTGAGTATTGAGCTTTCGCTAAAAGTACACTTAATTCCAAACTTAACCGCAGCAAATATAAAATTTAATGTAACAGTCCGTTAGAAAATAGGTATGACATATTGATTAATTGATTTTTTGGAGGGCAGCCTAATTTAGTCAGTTAGTTTGAATATATTAAGGGAATTAACCCAGTGTTAGACTGGTCATCTGTGTCTCACGTTTCATCACTTATGTAGACTCACGTTTTTTTCCAATTCTAATTATTAACTTTCGATATGAAAGCCAACCCGTCAGTTGTAATGCTTTAAGAAGACCTAGTTGACTGTAAACGGTTTACTCCTTTTCTAATCTTAAACATTACTGATATCGAGACTAGATGTGATTGGGAATATAATTTGCAATAAAAACTCAGAGATATTTATTTCCCAGTCAGATGAAAGATGTCAAGATCAAGTAGCCTTTTAAATAACTCTAGGGTGTAGTTCACACTTGTGATTTGCAGGTTAGTTTGTAGATTATCAGACCAGTAAAAAGAATGCTAACTCTGATTACTTTAATTATGAACACCAAGCCAATAAAAATCCCGTAAGCTCATTAAAATGAAGAAGATATGTTTGGAAAGTATACTAATGTAAATAATCTCAAATTATTTAAAATGCATATAAGTGCATAGTTTGTATATACAGACACAGCATATGTTTGCTAGTAGTCCTCATCTTTCTGTGTGTGTGTGTGTGTGGTTGGGAAAATTTCTCATTTCCAGAATTTTATGCATGAAAGTCAAAAAAAGATATCGGATGGAAAAGATGATTATGATGGAGAGTTTATACCACCTGCAATACAGGTCGATTAACCCAGTTATTTAATTGAAACTGATAAAAGCCTCAAATTTAAAGATTTTACTTAAAACATAATCTGGCTGCCTGCTTGAATTTCCACCCAACATAATGCGTCATAGTTTTCTCTATTTCTTATTGTCGTAACTATTCATTTATGTCCTTGAGTAGCAAAATGTACTCACGAACATTTTCAATTGATTTTCAGACGGGTGAGCACTTCACGGGGACGAAGGAGAAACATAATAAGGGATTAGTCTACGCTTCAATTCTAACAGCCTTGAGTCAGGTGACTACTATTTTACTTGAAGATCCTGGATGTGGGGAAAATATTACTCAATAAATTATTCTGAGAATTCTGTTCACTGTGTAGACATTTTGTTCAGAATAAGGACATTCATTTTTATTACTAATTATATATGGTGGCCAACTTAGATCACTGGGTTACCAGGATTTCCATCAATCAAAATGCTTAAACTCTTCTACATTTCTTATTGTTTTAATCATACAGTTATATCAAATAACCACTACATGAACTCCGGCACATATTCAGTTAGCCTCCCACTAAACGCTGTGCAATTTTTGAAGGAAATTAGGAGAAAAAGTGTACACAATTGGCTCTGTTTTCATATGGAACAACACTACGTCAAATGAAATACTTAAGATGATTACTTTGCATGTAAATCGTGTATGAAGAGGAGATATTTTGGAACTGAATGCGCTGTAAATTTCTGTTTTATGTGTTCACATATTGTCTGGAATAAATCTATATGATGTATTATTATTCTCATATTTGCATTGCTAAGTGTCAAATCATATGAGCTATACGGGAGCGTGTAGAGTCCACCAACACGCTCATTCTGGCTTTCTTTTAAATGTCTGTAAGGCAGCCTTTAGTGTCACGAGTATACTAGTCATTTCAAAGTTTCGTGTGAATATTTTGTCCAACGTGACAAAATGATTTCATGGTAAAAATTTTTTTCTGTCACTCCTCTCTGAATAAGGATAAGTAGATCGCAATATTGTACCAAATGCTGAAAATTCCACACTATAACATTAGTGCCATTCTGGAATAAAGCAAACTATTATTGCTATTAAAATATTATACTACTTACAAGTAGCTTAAGTTTTTTAGCATCATTCCTCATCCCTTTGGGAAGAAATATGGATATGTGCATTAATTTTAACGAATCGCTTGCCTAAAAACCTCAGGAAAGTCCAAGTGTTGATGAACACTTATATGCAGTGATAGGCTGCAATTGTCTTTTATGTTTTGGATAGTATATAACAACATAAAGTCATTTTCTAGAAGGTTGATGGTATATTTGTGTAGCATTCACTGTGATTCTACATTACACCATCCATAGGTTTTCTAGTATGTCAGGCAAACAAAATTCTTGATAAGTGTTGGTAAAGTGAGTTTTATTCTAGTGATTAGCAGCTCATGACTAGACACTGAGGCCGAAGAGTTAAGTTGCAAATGTGTAAGGTACATATCTCCAGTGGAACGTTCAACACTTCGTTTTATAAACCTGTAATGCTCTGATTAAAATGCGTTGTCTTTCTGGCTCTCTAAAGGACATTAAAATAGTGAGCAAAAATCCTACATGGTATACTACTAATCGATATAAATAAATGATGACCATTAAGGCTTTACCAACAGAATAATGGAGTTACGCTAGGTTCACCCCTAGAACTTGCTTTGGTTGATGCTGTCGTCAGCTTTATTGAATAGACACGCTTGAATTTTGTAATTGGAGAAAAAACCTATCATTTCATTGACACT